GGTTTATTCGGTTAAAAACTGAACCAAATAAACCAAAATTTTAAAAACCGAGTTAAAAAATTAAAACCAAACCGAAACCGAATTATAAAAAAACCAAAATTTTTAGTTTGGTTTTCGGTTATTTTGGTTAAAACTGAATTTTAATAATATATACTTTATTATATATATTATAACATATATTATGAAATCAACTTTTATTATATTATATATAAATATATAATATATTATATATTATATGTTACATATTATATAATATATCTTACATATTATATATTACGTATAATAATAGAAAGTTTGGTTAATTCGGTTAACTGAATTTCTAATTCTAAAAACCGAAAACCGAATTAGTCAAAAACTGAATTAACCGAACTGATTTAACCAAAAACAAAAAAACGAATCGAACAAACCGAAACCAAAATTTTTGGTTCAGTTTTTTGGTTTTAACCGAATAGTGCTCACCCCTAGGTAAAAGAGTAACTGCACTCAATATTCTTTTGGCCAAAAAGACAAGCAAGGGACTGAAAGGGTTGATGTGTCATGCCCAAAAATGTCCCCAACAGCCCGGCTGTTGGCCCCAAGTTTTCTCCAGCCATCCAGGGTCTTGGGAGTAGACTGGATATGGACCTAACCTCCAGCAGTTTTTAGCACAAAGTGGCTACTCCAAGACTCGAATAGGCATTCTTGTGCTTGTTAGCTTGAGATTTTACCACTGCATCAAGAAATGGACAATCCCTTGAAAATTCAATTGAATCCTTGATGATAAAGAATGTTTAATCAAATCATGAATTTAGGGCTGCAAACAGATCGAATTGGATCAGATATAGGTAGATCCAAATTTGATTCGTTTTATCCATCAGTTTATGTCAGATACAGATCGAATTGAGATTGCAATTGGATATTGAATAGTAAAAATAAATTAAACCAAAAATTGGAAATTGAGAAAGCTGTGAATTGTTATCAAGTTAGGCTAGCCCAATTGGAGGCATTTTCAAGCTGTTCTTTTTCTTGTTCTTCTGCTCTTTCCCTTATTTTCTCTTTGTTTCCGTATAACTTTCATTGCAAATCCTATATTCACACTCATGTTTCTTGTAGAAGAATTTCACCTCACTGTTAAGAAATCCAAAGAAGACAATCATTACACCATAACTGTTATTTTCTTGTGTACTTTTGTCTTAATGATTAGCTTGTCATGCAGAAACGCAATGCCAAAAAGGTAGAGAGTGAAAAGAGATACTATGCTGAGAAGAAATATGTATCCGGAGACTAAGAGTTATGTAAATGTTTTTATGTGGCTGCTGAACCAACTAAATAACCTTTCTGCAACAGTGGCTTGGTTGACAATTCCACTGCACTTCTCCCCATTACCATCGTGAAGATTACTGCTATTGATGAAGATGATGGTGTATTGTATTTTTTTTTTTTTTGGTTTTGTGAAGATAGAAAACGAGTACCATGGAGAGTTTGTTTTCCAGAACATTAGAAGCCTCCAGGAGTGCCATTTCTTTTCCCCTACCCACCCTAATTTTGTTGTAATTCTTCCCTACAAGAGTAGAATAGGTGTTTCATCGGACAAAACAAAACTAATCTTGTGCTGCTGTTTGTGATCGTTGCACCCCTTTCATACTTGCAAGCAAGGAGGAAATCTGATTCTCTAGGGACATGCATTTGTTTTTGTGGTTTAGAGAGAAGGGAGTTCATTGAAGTTTGTAGCACTCTGCTCTATAGAAACACTTGATATTGTTGTAGCCTTTTTGAGATTCAAGGTGATTTTTTTAGATATTCATATTGTTGGCTTGTTACTACTCTTCCAATTCTAGCAATTGGCGCAGCGATGTTACAATTCCATTAATTTATTTTTCTGATCTTATTCTTTTTTTCCTCTCATTTTTAGAGAGATTGTTATTTCAGTCATAAATCATAACGCAAGGGATAAAGCTCCAAAAGCCTTGACTGATTAAGTGACTATCTCTATCTGTGTGGTTTAAACCTTAGGCTAGTTTGGTTTGAAGGAAAAAGTAGGAAAAGAAAGGGAAAGGTAGGGAAACCTTTACAATCAAACATAGCCTTAATAACTTCTTTTTCTATTTAATAAGCAAATCTTGTAGACGTCTATGACCGGTCCCGCTTATTGATTACTCTTAGCTCCGATTCGAATAGGTTTTATGGTGCAGTTTCTGCATTGTAAAGTGATTTTTGTTTGTTTTTTACCATTGTGAATACCTTGTGAAACGTAAAGCAATGAAAATTTAGTTACTCAAAGTATATAAATATTTGTTGTGTAGTTTTTTGTACTGCATTTGGACTCAAGTATATAGACATAATGGCCATTGGCAAAAAGCCAAAAATCACAATAATTTGCACTTTATTTCAATTTTCAACGCAATTTAGGCTATATTTGTTTTAGTGCAAAAACCACAATAGTTCATGGACATTTAAAAATCTCTTGACTGGTTCATCAATACAAACTGGTTTATTTTTACAATTACACTGACAAATTTTGCATCCCAACCAAACGGTTTCTAATTCTAACGAGTTCACAGGTTTCAATATTGAAATCTACAATTTTTTACATTGAACAACTATGACACAAATGATGCTCTCAATCCTCTCATTTTGAGGGCAAACATGCTCCAGGCAAGGTTTTGAATTTCGTAACGTATCGGCCGATATGGTTTTGTATTTTTTCGTCCGTATCGAATCAATACAGGTCCATACCGGCCTTGTATCGACCGATACAATACAAAACGTGGCCGATACAATACAAAACGTGGCCGATACATACCCGAAACGGGCCGATATGCATTATGTATCAATCGAATTTAATTTTCCTCTCCTTTTTAAATTTAAATTTAATTTGTATCTTCTCTCTCATTAATATCAATTTTAATTAAGTCTTAAAGTCTGAAATGTCACTAAATGCTAATATAATTTAATTAAATGCTCATTTAAATTACCTTTAATTATAATATTTAATATCATTAAATGTTATTTTAAGTCAAATAACCTGTTAAAAATCACAAACCAAAGGTAAAAGGTTTTAAACCCAAATCATTTGCTTGCAACACTAATTAATTAACCATTATACCAACCTAAATTAGTTATTAAAATAACATGTTTTTTTATACTTATAGTAATATTTCTTGCCTTAGTGGATGTTTTTCAACAAATGCAATAAATTTAATTATTAATATTTATATAATAATAAGATGAATACAAGTTAAATTTATTTATTAAAAATTAAGAAATATATTAACTTGTATACATAATAAATATCATATAAATCATTAAAGAATGATTTTTATGTTTAAATAAATTAATTATAATCACATAAAACTCATTTTTATTATTGTTCATATTTTTTTAAAATTTTTAGTGTATCCATGCTTATCTTTATTTTTCGTCATACACCTTCCATTTATAATCTACTGTCGCTGCCTCCCGAATTCTTACTAATCTACTGCTTTGGCAACGCTAGCATCGGTTCCGCCATGGCTAAGAACTGAAGGGTTACCATCAAAGATGCAAATTGTAAAATAAGATTCCAATTCCTGATATGATAAGAAAGTTAGGAGTAAAACCTTTTTATACCTATTTTTCTTTTTTCTTTTTTTACAAAAAGCTGCCTGAAGAGGCCGGATACAATATCAACATTCACTAAACGACTTTATGAATGAGATCACGGCAACAAAAATCTAACAAGGGCATTGTGCCATTCTTGGTTCCTTCTCATCCAATTTCTCCCCTGTTATCTCTCACCTTCCTCTTCTATCTGCTTAGCTCCCAGTTGGGAGCAAAAAAGGTATTACAGAGCCAAAAACACTGATATTATAAGCTCCCTAGTCAGTACATACAAAACTTACTACCACTACCACATAACAGGAGTTGATGTGTTTTGTGGGAATTCTGGTGTCATACAGTGTTGTTGCTGCCATTGTTGTAAACTTTCGCCTCCTCCTACAATTGCATCAGTCCCCCACGCTTGCCCTCCATCCTCATCTTCAATTTCCATCATTGTAGCATCTCCTTCTGCTTCCATCATCTCTGACAGTCCCGGTGCTGGCACCTCCGTTCCAGAGAATGTAGGATGCTGATATGGAACCCAGGGAACAACTGCTAAGCTATCATTTGTCACTGATTTGTTTTTGTCTGCGGATGCTGCTTCATCCTCTGTAGTTTTTACTGATTTTGTATGGTTGGACCAGAAAATATGATCTAAATGGAAAAATGTTACCACAAAGTTAGTTTGGGATCAGATCCGTGGGAACTCAATATGCAGTCTGAAGGCATAAATAAAAAAAACAGAAGAAACTAGTGACACAACATGAATTTGCATATACTGTCACTAGTTGGTTGATAACGATCTACATGTGCATAGAATACTAATTCAGACATGGGGAACTCTTGTTCTCCGTAGTAGGTGGCCACTAAATTCTAATGCGTATAGTGCACTGTGTACACTTTCCCAGGCTCCTAGCCAATAAATCTTTTATATCATCAACCAATGCAGAATTGCAACCGAATCCTAGGTGGGTTCATGTGGCAAATCTAAGTTATCAAGATTTATTGGTACCTCTCAAGTCTCAAATGCATCAATAAGATAAGAACCATTTCAATAAGGAAACAGACAATCAAGTTGCCAATAATTTTTTTTATATCAATCAATGCAGAATTGCAACTAAATCCTAGAAGGTTCATGTAGCAATTATAAATTTCCCAAAATATACTGGTTAAGTATCTTTCAAATACATCAACAAGATAAAAAACCATTTCAAAAAGCAAAGACAATTAAATTGCAAAAAAGAATTCCATGTGTCCTTGTTGGAACTTCAAAGTAATCTTGTTTTACAGTTCCAGTTGCATTTCAATGTTAAGGAAAAATATATAAATTGGTGGATTTAGAAATTTAAAATTGGATCACTTACAAAATCAAGCTCAACGGTTTTGTAATTGCATCAAACAATGATTAATCCCTTCCCTTCAAATATTAAGGAATTATATTTCTACTTGATTGAATGTAAGCTTTTCTAAACTATACATTCCCATACAAAAAAATTCCTAACAATATATCGATAACAAAAGCTCTATTTGACTTCTGCATCGGGTGCATTCTAGTAGTGCCAACACCTAAGGAGCATTTCCATAAATTACAATGTCAGTTCAAAACAATGCCAACATCCAATTGATCAATCTTGTCACAAAGCTCAAGCATTTGATACTCACCTTTCAAACCAGGAATCAAATCGGAATTCACGGTGATAGAAAAGCCGGGTGAACTGGGAGTTTTCAACATGGGTGTGTTAGCTGGGTTGTAAAGTACGAGAGCCCTTTCTTCATTCAGAGGAACAGAGGGAACTGCCTCCGTCGTCACAGCTCCTAGTTGCTGTCGAGTGATATCGGGTTGTTCGCTCACTATCTGCTCAAAACCCATAGCAATCTCTGGGGCTTCTTCTTCTTCCATGATCGGTGGCAACTCTGCATCCTTGAAAACGCAAAAAAGAACATATACTCTTTAATAAGTCCCGGATGGAAAATAAGATCTTCTACACTGACTAACAAACACCACCATTGAGTGGTGAGTGTGTTGGTGACAACTATTATCATCTAGAGAGATTCAAGGGTTTTTCCGTTTTTGAGAAACAACTGCCAACAATTCGAGGAAATGAAGAGAGATGAAATAATTTTCTTCAGGTTTCCCTAAACTCTTACACACAAAAATAAGCAATTATTCCTTGAAAAAAGAAAGATGGAATGGAACCAGTACCAGCCTCCTGATCTTTCTCGCGGGAGAAGACAGAGAAAAATCAGAGAACTCATCGTATACTTCCTCCAAGTCCTTACGCTTCATCTTCATCGGCAGATATCCCGCCATATAGCTTCTAAGAACTACAACCGACCGAAACCCTAATTCGAACCGATCAGATCGCCGACACCACGAAGCACCACAAGGAAGGGATCAATCTGTAGACATAAGAAATCTAAGGAAGAGTCGACAAATTCTGCAGAAATTGAACTATGGAAACTCTTCACGGATCCAGAAGCTTCCAACCCAGATGTTTTCTCTAGGGTTTTTCTACTAGCTCTCTCTCTCTCTACTCTCTACTGGTTTTTTGCTTTGCGGTGTTGGCTTGCTTATGCTAACTTTGCCCATTGAACCTAGAAAAGAGGGGAGAGAGAGAAGGAAGCTTCCTCTCTCTAGATGTCTCCAGAAAGTGCAGTCCTTTTACTGTTGAATTGTTTGGATAATTTTGTTTCTTATTTGGAAAGAAAAGCTATTGTCCAACACTAACCCATTTGATGTTTGCCACGTGTCTGATTTTGATTGAACAATTATCATATGCAAGATGATCTCAACCGTTTATATATTTGTTGTTGTTAGGCCTGTGAAGGATCAAATCGTCGTAAACAAAAGAAGCTGCTTTGAAAGGTGGACACGTGCGGTTGGTCGTAACTCGTAAACTCGTAATGTTATGTTGTTAGACGGGAAATGTACGTAGTAGAGTCGTAGACAAATGCGGTATTGCTCAGCGTCAACTTTGGTTTGACAGTGCGGTGACAGTTTGATTGTGGACCGGACCGATGAACATGACCATTAATGACACCTTGGACTAATATATGGCACGAATACGAAATACCCTTTATCTTAATAATTATAAGTTAAATACGATTTAATAGAATAAAAGTTTTTAGGTTGAAGGTGATCGATCGATGTTCATGGGTTTGGGTGATTCTACTGTAATTCCTTCAAGAAATAGTGTTAAAGCTGATGAACATATGTTTTAACGATGCATGCTGTGACTCTATAAGATATGGTCGAGTGGTTGAAAAGAACAGTTAGGGACTCCCATCACTCCACTCATTCATGGCTTGATTTGCATGAGCAAAGTGCTTTTGATGCACTTCAAATTTGAAGATGTAATAAAGGGGAGTATTTGATGTGGATGATAACATGAAAAGGAATTTATCATGATCCACTTTGGAAAGGGATAAGAGAAGAAAGTGATTTATATACAAGGAATGATTCATAGCATGACTTAAACTAATGAGTTGTGCATGAGCGGTAATTTGGCCCTTTCGGTGACGTTGATTAATTGTTGTATAATACTTTGGCGTCACGTCGGTGGTGATGTGTTCTTTCCAAATCAACCCTAACTGTTTTGGATCGGATACACTTCAGATGCACCTTGGATTCACCTCGGATGCACCTTGCACGCTTTGAAATCGAGCGCCCGGCATTAGCTCGGTTAGGATCGAGGAGGGCATGGCCTTATGCAGCATGTGCACCTTGGTGGACCGAACTGGCGACCTTGGCAAGAGCAGACCTACGACCTCACTAAGAGGGTTGACTTTCCGCCAAGCACTTATCGACCTGACCAAGGTCGAGGTGGCAACCTTCGTGATGTGGTGACCAACTTCCTCTACGTGCGACTTATAGTCTTTGAGTCCTTCGGGATCACATTACCTGACTGATAAAGTTGACTTTTGCACCACCTGCTTTGGAGATAATCGGATAAGCTTATCGCTATCCACGAAAACCACCTTTTAGGGTGGTGAGCTGATAAATCATGTCCTTCTGAAGATCTTAGACACGCTACATGAGGCCCACGCCTACCCAAGGTTCAAAATATCGATACAGGGTGGTACGCCGGTAGGGCATATCAGTTTGTATCAGTACTATTTTTTTTTTGTGTTTTTCTTATTATTATTATTTTGAAACTAGTTTAGAGGGGCCGGTTTAAGGTCAATCTACCCCCTAAACCGCTCGTCGACCCAAAACTCCCCCTATAGGGGCATGCCGAGAAGGCTCTGATACAATACTTATCGGTCGATACATGACGAAGTTTTGATCCTTGCGCCTATCCATGCCTATATAAAGGCACCTCATTCAACCACAGAAGGTACACTCGATTGTGCGCTCGAGACTCTTTTGCATTCTAGCTCTCTTGCTCTCTTGTTCTCTTTCACTCATTGCTAACTTAAGCATCAGAGTAACCACCTCGGGTACTTCGACATTGTTCTCTTGTAATCAGCCTACCGACCTCATGAGCTTGACGTCTGAGCTGTCCTCCAGCAGGGAGCTACTAGATTGCACACTATCAATTGTCGCCGTTTGTGGGAACCATTATGAAAAGCTAAGGCTCTGTTTGAATAGACTTCTGCTTTTGTACTTTTAAAAATATTTAAGTATAAAGTACATAAAATACTTTTACTTTGGTATTTTTGCTTTGAAAACCATTTGGGTAAAAAAAATTGATAAGTATGCTTTTCAAAACAGAAGTACCATTTTTTGTTTGGCAAAATCACATCCATTTGTACTTCTAGTGATGGTTTTCGGGGTTTGAGATCGGTGATGGCCGTTTGACTCTAGTAGTGGTGAACGGAGGAAGGGTCGAGAGTTTTATCAAACGGTGGTCACACGTGACCACCCGTTCGCATGAAAACAAAAGCATAATTTCGCCTAAAGCACGAAGTATGAAAAGCTAACTTTGTGCTTTTGGGGTTTTTCATACTTTTAAAAGTATTAAAGCAAAATGTATGAAGTACATACTTTTAAAAGTATGAAAGCAAAATGTATGAAGTACATAAAACAAATGCTATGTCGTGTTTTTCATACCTTTATACTTTCAAAAGTATGAAAGTACTTTATAAAAGTTTATCCAAACAGGGCCTAAGTTCTTGCTTACTTTCTACTCAATAAGTAATGGCTTCAATAACAACAACAATGCCGACAATGTCCAAATTGACAACACTTCAATTGGTGGTAGGTAGTAACTAAGTCCACTATCTCCTCACTACTTAGCTTGGTGGGTCCAAACTCTGACTTAGTCCTTAGCTGATGACTAGAGGTCGAGGCCCCCTATTTGGGACCCTTGCCGCTCTTGAGTTGTGGTCCCCCTCGGCTCGAGAAGCCTAGTAATACTCCCTCTCCGATTCACCAGAAGACATAGTTACTAGAAAGAAAAGAGGAAAAGGACTCACCTACGGGACTATGAAAAAATTGGACCAACCTCCCCGACCTCGTTTGTGTTTTCTGAGTTTTCTGACCTTTCACTTTGCTACTCCAAGAAACTCCAGGAAATTGTACAAATGGGACCCCAGGGGCCCCTTATATATAATTGAATAAGCCTTATCACTATCTGTGGAAACCACTTTTGAGGGTGATAGGCCAATAAGCCATGTCTTTTCAGAGATATTGGACGTGCTACGTGAGGCCCACGCCTATATAAAGGCATCTCCTTCAACCACAGAAGGTACACACTATTGTGCACATAAATCTCTCTTACTTTGTAGTTCTCTTGCCTTCTTTGTTCTCATCATTGACTTAAGCATCGGAGTGCCTACCCCGAGTACTCTGACTATTCTCTTGCAGCTCAATCAACTGACCTTACTAGCCCAACGTCTAAGTTGTCCTCTAGCAGGGAGCTAGCAGATACACACCATCAATAATGTTGTGACCTTTCTTGGTAGATATTAGGATTTTGTTTCTCCTTAAATTTTACATATACCATTATCACAACAATTAGAACCCATACATGAGTTAGGGAATCTTTTTATTGGCAAATACTAGTATGTGCAGAAATGTTTTTTGCACATAATATGGAAAAACAATAAGGGTTCATTTGGTTTGTAGCAAGAATTGGAATCAGAATCAAAATTAGAATCGGATTGGTTTATTCCCATAGTATGTTTGGTTTAGACAGGAATGAGAATGAAAGTTGGAATCAACAGGAATGGAATTTCATTTCCAAGGGAGGGGCAGGGAATGGCCATTCCCTCAAACGGGGGAATACCATTCTAGCAAGAATGGGAATGGGATTCTGATTCCGCTTAACCAAACAGTTGAAATCGGAATAGTCCATTCTGATTCTAGACCCCTATTCCCGCAAACCAAATGGGGCCTAAGCCACACGCCCCTTGTGAAGTGGCATATATCCCATCTTATGACTTGGAATGATCATGGACCAAGCTGGCTTGGGCCTAGATTGCAAGGCTAGGTTGGGCTTATAGGGTTTTCAGGCCTAATGACTTTGGGCCATGGCATCTAATAATAAAAATTTAATTAATTAACTTTTAAATTAAATAACATAATGTCTAATACATGAAAAAAAAATATTGCACAAGCCCAAATTAGTCTTTGGGCCTATCCTATGACGAAAAAAAGGCATGGGCTCCATTTAATTTCTAATTTTGGTTTGGCTTGGCTTGCCTATCTTTTTATTGATGAAGGTAAGGCCTGCCTCCGTTTCCATTTTTTAGCAATGTGGCACTTGGGACAATACTCAATGGTAACATTGCTTGGGTACCACATTGATTGGGAATGAGAATGAAGGCCTTGACTAGGAGGATAATTCTCATACTTGAATTGACTCAAGTGTTGGCACATTTGTTAACATGTGTCAACTCATGAATATTTATTTATATGTTAAAACTTAAAAGTGTTTGCATTTTATATAATATAATAAATATTTAATATAAATTTAAAATATACTTGTGTATGTATATATATAACAATACATAATTATATATTACAATATAAAATGGTATGTACATTATATATTTAAAAATAAATATTTATGGGTTGGGCCAGGCCAGGTTTCTGGCTTGAGCCAAGAATGATCTCCCGTACTTATGATCTCAACTCCCATAAAATGAGAGGTTAAGGTTATCCCTTTTGTATGAAAAATTTTCTTTTTCACATAGTAATAAAACCATATTTTGTTTAATGGGGACAAATATGATGTTGCCCATCCCCCACCCTCCATCCCCCCCCCCCCAACACTAGTGACAATGGAATTTTGATCCCAACTCTCTTCTATAACCATCCCCTTAACCTCCCAACACTAGTGATAATGCAATTTCATAAAAGTACTATTGTAAAAGTTCTTTTGTGTAAAAGTACTTTTGTAAAGTGCTTTCATAAAATTACTTTTTGTAAAGGTGTTTTTAGGCTTTCATAAAAGTGTTCGTAAAAGTATTTTCATAAAGCGCTTTCGTGAAAAAGTGCTTTTGTAAAAGTACTTTCATAAAAGTGCTTTTGTGTAAAAGTACTTATATAAAAGTGCTTTTGTATAAAAGTACTTTTGTAAAAGTCCTTTTCATAAAATTGCTTTTGTAAAAGTGTTTTTGTATAAAATTGCATGTGAACAAGAAAGTTAATAAAATCTATTTTATTTCATTTTTAATCTCAAAATGAAATGTGGCATGGTGGT